AACTACTATTACTACTATTACTACCTATGGCCGAAATGGCCCGGGGCCGCCATGCGAACGCTGCCACTGGGGCCTTCGGTGGAGCTCCCTATGGGGCCACGATCCTCGTGGGGTGTGTGCCGAAGTGGTCCGAGGCCGCCATGCGAACCCTGCCACTGGGGCCTTCGGTGGAGCTCCCTATGGGGCCTCGATCCTCGTGAGGGGTTTGCCGAAATTGCCAGAGGCCGCCATGCGAACGCTGCCACTGGGGCCTTCGGTGGAGCCCCCCATGGGGCCACGAAACGCTGTACTGGGTGGGTGAAACGCAGGGAGGAGGGGGGAGGAGGGGGAGAGGATTGGAGGAGGAGGAGGAGGAGGAGGAGGAGGAGGAGGAGAAGGAACGCGGGGCGACGTCTCTTCAAAACGAAGACCCAACACCACAGGATGGTTGGGAAAAACAAAACGCACTGAAATGGTCCTCTTCCTGGCTCGCCCAAGCTCAGGATCAAAGCCACTTGAAACCAGACGTATCTTGAACAGTGCTGATTACAAAAAACCGGCCAGGATAAGTCCGATTGGCGGCCCCAGTCGGCGGGATTGGGCCCAGTTGGCCGGAACCTGGCCCGATTAGCCGAAATGTGTTCCTCCACCGAGGCCCATCCCTACGTACCCTGGGGGGGGGGGAGTATTCGGGCTCCCCCCTCGTGAATGCAAGGGAGAGAGGGTTCGAACCAGGGAGGGGCCACCCCCGTCCAGGGGTGGGGGGTGGGAGTTCGAACCGGCCCCCCCCCTGCCAAGAGGGGGATGGTTGTAACCGGCGACGGCGACGGCGGCGGCGGCAGTGACAGAAGGCGACGACGACGACGACGACGACGACGACGATGATGATGATGATGAGGATGATGATGATGATGATGATGATGATGATGATGATGATAGTGATGATGATGGTGGTGATCACGATGGTGACACCGATGATGATGAGAATGATCGCGCTCTCCGAAAGTGATCCGTCGCCGTATCGCGAACGCTCACTGCCTGCTGCATTACTGGCGGGCCTAAAAACCGCGCCTCCCTCCAGAGTGCTGCGCACTGCGAGGACACAATGATGATGATGATGATGATGATGATGATGATGATGATGATGATGATGATGATGATGATGATGCTGATGCTGATGCTGATGCTGATGCTGATTATGATGATGGTGGTGATGATGGTGATGATAGTTATGGCATCCCATCACAGAGTGACCATTACATTTATTGTCCCGCCCGCCCGCCTGACCGCCCGCCCGAACGGTGTCCACTGGTGGTGTGATGCATGTTCCCCTCGTGATTCGTATATTTACCGTCCCGCCCGCACGAACGTCCCCGGTGGTTGCGATATATTGTCCCCCGACCTTGACCCATCAAAAGGTGAAGGTTGCATATGATGTCCGGCCCGTCTCCATCGCCGTGTGTCGCAGAGGCCAAACAAGCCGGAGGAAGAGGAGGAAGAGGAGGAGGAGGAGAGGAGGAGGAGGAGGATGGGGAGGAGAGGAAAAGGAGGAGGAGGAGGAGGAAGAGGAGAGGCGGCGGAGGAGGGGAGGAGGAGAAGGAGAGGAGGAGGACAATGCAGACACAGACTGGGCCAACATAAAATCCTGAGGATCGTCGAGCCAGGCAGGAGGCCCCGAGATGGCCAGCGAAAATGCTCAGATGCCTCGACCGCTCGCGCCCCTTTCGCCGAGGAGAGTCAGAAACTGCATAGTGCGCTTGACCCCCCTGGCGGCGCCTCCTGCGCCGCCCCTGGCGCGCTCCTTGCGCCAGGGAGGGGGGTCCAGCGCCGATGCACGAACACAGCGCGGAGCTCCAAAATCTAATGTTTATCATTGCCTTCGACTTGGGTTGCAAGAGCGGGGGGGCAAAAACAGTATCAAGTACACACCGCTGTGGGGAACCCATCAGCGTGCTACTTGAAGAAACACAACGCCTTCGGGCAACAACTAAGGAGTAACACGCTGACGGGACGGGATCCCAACGGCGGCGCGCTATTGCTGCTCTAGTTATTCCCCGAGACAAGACCTTCCCGATCGCCTGCGAGCCCGTCCGTGAAGCCCCCCCTCTCCTTCTCGCGAGGCTACCCCGATTCCTCCACACCCATTCTCTGGCGCGCCGCTGGGGGCAACCAATGGAGCCACATCGGCGCACGCTGAAGCTGCGCGCGATCCCCCTTCCTTCGGGACATAATATAGTTATGTTCCTGCCTCAGACGGGGGGCTGCCCCCGGTTCGACGAGGAGCAAACAGCAAACACGCAGACACACACCCACAGGCACACACGCACGCACGCACGCACGCACGCACGCACGCACGCACGCACGCACGCACGCACGCACGCACGCACACACACACACACACACACACACACACACACACACACACACACACACACACACACACACACACGCGCACGCGCACACGCACGTGCACGCGCACGCGCACGCACACGAGCACACGAGCACACGAGCACACGAGCACACGAGCACACGAGCACACGAGCACAAGAGCACACGCGCACACGCACATACGCACACACGCACACACACACACACACACGCTCACACGCATACACGCACACACACACTATACACACTACGCCACACACTATACACACGACACACACTACACACACTACACACACTACACACACACTACACGCACCACACACACACCACACACCACACACGCACACACCACACACTCCACACACACACACACCACACACACCACAAGAACCACATACACATACCACACACATACACACCACGCACACCACGCACACGGACAGAAGCTTTCTGAGGTCGGAGAGGATTTGTCCCTTGCAAGCCAAGCGCGCCAGGGGCGGCGACCGAGGCGCCGCCAGGGCCATAGGCGCCCACGGCGACAGCATCACTAGAAGCCGATCGAGACGACGGCGAAGCCGAAGCCGACCGACACCGACAGGCCGCAGGCAGCCTGCAGGGACGCGGCGCCGTACCAGCCGACAGAACCGAACCGACCACCGAACGCAGCCGAGCGCCCAACTTCGCGCTCTCGCGCTGCGCGAAGCTCGCGCCGCCCCCCCCCCCCAAATCGAGAAGAGGAGGACGAGGAGGAAGCCGAGCCGAACCTCGGAGCGCAGAGCGCGAACGAAACTCCGCGCCCTCGAGGGAGCGCCCCTGCGACTCGCTGCGACGTCGGGCCCCCCACAGGCCGTGCTGAGGAGACGCACGGCGTAAATACCTTGCAGCCCCCAACCACCTCACCTCCTCCCCCTCCTCATTCTCCCTTCCTCCTCCTCCCCATCCTCCTCCTCCTCCTCCTCCTCCTCCTCCTCCTCCTCCTCCTCCTCCTCCTCGCGGCCTTAGCAACCCGGAGGCCCCCGGGCGCCTGACCGGATCCGACGATGCGGCAGGCCCGCGAACTTGAGCCGAACAACTTCCCAAACAAATATAAAGAACGAATCTTCGAACTCATCCCGCGGGCAAGCCCGCGAACTTGTGCCGAACAACATCCTGAACAAATGTAGAGGGCAAATCTTCGAATTCTTCCCGCGGACAAGCCCGTGAACGTGTGCCGAACAACTTCCCGAACAAATGTAAAGAGCGCATATTAAACTTTTCCCGCCGGGCAAGCCCGCGAACGTGTGCCGAACAACTTCCCGAACAAATGTCAAGAACAAATCTTCGACTTTTCCCCGCGGGCAAGCCCGCGAACTTGTGCCGAACCTCCTCCCGCACAAACGAACTGACAAATCTCTGCCGCCCGGGAGGCCCTGGGCGGGGTGGGGCCAGTCGGGGAGGGGGCGCGCTGCGATCGCCACAGCCTCTGCGCGAGCACCAGTGGGGGGGGGGGGTCCAGACCCCCCTCCGACGAGGCCAGGGCGAGGAGAACAAATCGGGTGGGGATGAAGCGAGGATGTGACGTGTGCCGCGGCCTTGGAGGATGTCTCGGGTGCCGCGGCCACCTTAGAGCTTTCCAGAACTCCCTGAAAGCGCTCTTGACCGCTATGGAACGGAACCATTCTCGTCCTGGCCCCGTCCGACGCCCCACCTGCGTGCTATCGTCATCGTTTCCTGGAGAGGAGGGGCGGGTAACGACCGTTTCGCCGCAGCAGATGAGAAAAATCAAGGGGCCCTGAGACACACAAATAAATACACACACATAACAGGATTCTCCCCATTTTCTTATTTTCTTATCTGTTCTTGATTTCTGTCTTCCCCCAACTTCCCATATTTTCCTATCCATTTTTCTGGGGAATCGACGATTCATTGTTTCTGTGTGTTTGTTCCTCCTCCTGAACAAACAAAAAAATCTCAGGCCGATGGGCAAACGAAGGGCCCACCAACTGGGCACGCAACGCTCAATTTTTCGCTGCCAGATCCGAGAGGTCTGTCGCTCGCAGGGCGCAACGAGGGTCTGGCTTGATCGTGGACGGCGCCGGCAGGCTGTGCGAGGCGCGGCCGCGGCGAGGTCATGTCGTCCATTGGGGGGCGGGAGCGACGGCTAGACCTTGGTCGGATGGAACTCGATGGCTCTCCTCTCGATCCTTCCGGGGGCCGTGTGCGGGACAACGCGGCTGATGTGGGCCGGGGAAAGAACCGCCCCGAGCAAGGGGTCCAGATCCCACTGCCGGGACACGCCTGGGGCGGGCCCAGACATCCGGCACCTCCACCTGGGGGCCCCCCTTTGACCTCTCGACCGCGCTCCCCCGGGGGGCCGGCAGCGTCGTCCTGAGCCGGATCCTGAGCGTCCGCGGGGCCCGGCCAGGACCTCCCCCAAAGGCCCCCAGAGGATGAGGAGGAGGAGGAGGAGGAGGAGGAGGAGGAGGAGGAGGGAGGAGGAGGAGGAGGAGGAGAAGGAGGAGGAGGAGGAGAGGAGGAGGAGGAGGAGGGCGGGAGGAAGGACGGCCGCCCGACGCTGCATCGAATCCGCCAGGTGTGCCAGGCAAGACAGCGAGACAGCGCGCCCGCGCGGCCGCAGAGGGAACTCTGGCCGCCTCCGCGCCCGTGTTCAGCCCGCACTGGAGGCTGTCGAAGAGCGACGCGAGGAAACGGCCCTTGTCGCCTCGGCAGGCCCCCCTGGGGACCTCCCTGGGTCGATCGGGGGAGGGGGGCGGGATGGGTACAATCGGACTGGATTGGACAAGACACTCCTCCTCCTCCTTCTCCTCTTCCTCCCTCTTCCTCTTCCGCCCTCTTCCTCCTCCTCCTCCTCCTCCTCCTCCTCCTCCTCCTCCTCCTCCTCCCTCTTCCTCCTCCTCCCGAGAGGACACAAGACGGGTCCTCGGCACGGGGCAGGACACAAGACACGGGCGAAGGCACAAGGCACCCGCGAGGACCCCCGAGAGGAGACACAGAGGATTCCGATGGCAACGGGGCACCAGCACACCAGAGGACCTGCGGGCTGCATTAGGTCGGGGTAGACAGGGCACACGGGTACCCTCGATTTGACATGGTCGACCTACTCGTCATGGCCGACTGTATATGGGCGATTTCGGAAACCCTGAACCCAAAAACGTGTTCGTCTCTTGGCGGCGCATCTTTTACTCCCGCCGCCTTCCGCCGAGCTTCCGCCGGCTTCCGCAAGCATCCGCTGGCGGAGCCGGCCTCGTTTCACTTCCGCCGACCTTCCGCCGAGGAAGAGGTATCATCTCCTTGGATCCTCGAAGGCAGAGCCCTTTTTGAAGCGCCCCAGAGCCACAGCGGGAGCGGGATGCGAGAGAGGGCGGAAGCAGGAGGAGGGACTTTCCTGCCGACGTGGGCCTCGACCCCCGTCACAAACGCAAACGCGACGCAAGGGGGGCCGAACGAGGGCCGGAGACGGGCTGGGCGAGGGCCAGAGAGCGACCACGAGAGAGGCTCCTCCTCCTCCTCCTCCTCCTCCTGTTCCTCCCTCCCTCCTCCCTCCTCCCTCCTCCTCCTCCTCCTCCTCCTCCTCCTCCTCCTCCTGTCCTGCTCCTCCTCCTCCTCCTCCTCCTCCTCCTCCTCCTCCTCCTCGCTCTTCCTCGCTCCTCTTCGCTCTTCCTCCTCCTCCTCCTCCTCCTCCTCCTCCTCCTCCTCCTCCTCCTCCTCCTCCTCCCCCTCCCCCTCCCCCTCCGTCTCCTCCTTCTCCTCCTTCTCCTCCTCCCCCTCCTTTTCCTCTTCCTCCTTGCACAAGGGCAGCGAAAACATGCAGGGGCAGCCACATCGGAGTCAGCCACATCCCAAACACGTCGCACTGCGGCAGGAACAGATCTCAGCCCAACCTCTCATCCATACATCCTCCCCACCACCGCCCACCCAGCTTGTGAAGTACAGGGTGGGGGGGGGGGAAGGTGGCTGTGGGAGGGGGGGATATGCGGTTTGTGAAGCACAGGGTGGGGGGAGGGAAGAGGGTGGCTGTGGGAGGGTGGTGGGTACGGGAGGAGAAGCGGGCCGAGGAATGAGGGGGGAGCGGGGAGAGTGGGGAGAGGGGACGCCAGTTTGGGCGGACGCGCTGGGAGTACCCCCAGCGGACACTGGGGCCATCTCTCAGGGAGGCGGCGCTGAAGACACAGAGGGCGGTCAGCAACTCACGGGTCTCCACGAACTCGTCCTCGCGGGGGCGAACATACCGCAGGAGGCCGATAGTCTTGCCCGCGGCCCTCGAGGAGTGTGGATTGGGGGCGCGTTCTGAAGATGCGCTGGTCCAACTTGTGGGGCCAACAGGTTTCGGGAATGAGGTTTATGCGGACTGCTCCAGCTCCAATTTCCAGTATCAGATGTGAGAACTCTACGTTCTGTTTCCGATTGTCAATTGTTACTGTTCGTGCGAGGGGTGGGAACTGCTTTTTTTCACCGGGCCCGAATTGCATGCTGTATGTTTGGGGGGGACCCTGGGACACGTTAAAATACATCCCACCAACCCTTTGGGCGACAAGTGGTCTAAGGAGGGTCCGTTTCCTCTTCCGCAACCCCTCTTCCATTCGGGGAAGGGAGCCCTCCCTCTCCCCTCCCTGAAGTTTTTGTTGGGAGGGGGTCCCGATGTGTCGGGAGCTTTATTTCTGCCCTTGGGAAGACAAGTTCCTGCCACCTCTCACGAGGATCGTGGCCCCCGAGGGGGGACGCAGATCCAGTACCCCAACTATTTTGACCGACCGCCTCCAAGATGGCGCCAAGAGGCCCACCAGGGCTCCCAGGAGGCCCCCAAGAGGGCCCAAAGAGCGCCCCAGGAAGCCCCAAGAGGCCTCCAAAAGGCACCTGGAAGGCCCCCAAGAGGCCCCCGAGCGGATCCCGAGGGGCCTCAGAGAGCCCAAGATGACCTTCAAGACGGTTCAAGATAGCCCAAACTAGGTCCAGATGGCTCCCAAGATGCTCCAGGCGGCCCCAAGACCGTTCCAAGACGGCTCGAGATGGCCACGGAGCCTCACAAACCTCCTTCGCGGTTTGACTATGCGTGTTTTTTCATCTCTCCCCCCGTCAACTTTCATGGGCATCGTTTCTGGATGGGCTGGTGGGGGTACGCGAATCGTCAATCCGCCCGCCCCTTGTGGGGCCACCAGGCTCTAGGGCGAAGGTCCGCAGTTTCCTCTACCAGTTGCAGCTTCCAGTTTCCACTGTTACAATTATGTTTCTTGCTGCTTGCCGTTCCTGGCTGACTTCTTGCTGCTTACTGTTCCTTGCTGATGGACCGCGCGAGGGGGGGAGGCCCAAAACGGGCATCTTTACTACGCCCTGAGCGTGTGCTCTGAATTGCTGGGGTGGGTAAAAATTGACACCCCTCACGCAGATCGGCGGGGTCAGGGTCCAGAAATAAATTGGATGTGCCACATTTCTGACATTCGGTGGCACCCCTCACGCAGATCGGCGGGGTCAGGGTGCAAAAACACATGGGAGTTGCCACATTTCTAACATTCGGTGGCACCCCTTACGCAGATCGGCGGGGTCAAGGTCCAAACACACATGGGAGTTGCCACATTTCTGACATTCGGTGGCACCCCTCACACAGATCGGCTGGGTCAGGGTCAAAACATATAAGGGATTTGCCACATTTCTAAAATTCGGCAGCACTCCTCACGCAGATCGGCAGGGTCAGGGTCCAAAACACAAGGGATGTGCCACATTTCTGAAATTAGGCGGCACCCCCCACGCAGATCGGCTGGGTCAGGGTGCAAAAAGCATAAGGGATTTGCAACATTCCTGAAATTCGGTGGCACCCATGACGCAGATCCGTAGGGTCAGGGTCGAAAAACAAACAGGTCCCGACACTGCTTCACAGCTGCGCCCAGACCTCATGATTTAGCTTTTGCATCTCCCATTATCCGAGACAGGGGGCCAGCGGCATGGGGCGAAGCCCTTACGGTTATAATTAAATCCGTGGCCTCGAAGCAATCATCCTTGGTAAATTACGGCAGGCTCGTTTTCCCGAGGCCCGAGTATGTTGTAAAGTATGCGCCATTCGCGCTATGGAAGCCATATTCCTTGGCAAATGACGCCAGGCTCGTGAGCACGGGGCCAGAATACGCTACAAATGATTCGCACGTCGCGCTCCGGAGTCTAGAATACTTTCGCAAATTAAGCCAGCTTCGCGCTCCCGAAACCAAAGCCTTTAGCAACAAATTACGCCAGCTTCGCGCTCTGAGAAAGAAACAGACCGCGCAACAGCGCCGACACGTCCCGCCATAGCTCTGACACATCCCACTCTTATATCTTACATGTAATTATGTATATGCATGGCCGATACTAGGAATTCTAAACCGGAAAACGTTTTCATCTCTTGGGGGCGCATCTTTTACTTCCACCGCCTTCCGCAGCCCTTTCCGCAGGGCTTCCGCCCGCAGAGGCGGCCTCGTTCTGCTTGCGCCGACCTCCCGCTGCCTTCCGCCGAGGCAGAGATGGCATCTCCCCGGATCTCCGAAGGCGCAGCCCTTTGTGGAACGCCCCACGTAGAAACAAACATGAAAAGGGCGAAGAACGGTGTACAATAAACTTTTCGCTGTCGGGGGCGCCTGTCCCAGGACGGCTGGAAAGTTTACACCCTGACGGTGGCACCGTAGGGGTATAAACCTTCCAGCCGCCCAGGGGCAGGTGTCCCCGACGGCGGAAAGTTTGTGTTACACCGTTCTTCGCTCGCTTTTTTTTTTTTTTTTTTTTTTTTTTTTTTTTTTTTTTTTTTTTTTTTTTTTTTTTTTTAAAACAAAAAAAAAAAAAAAAAAAAAAAAAAAAAAAAAAAAAAAAAAAAAAAAAAAAAAAAAAAAAAAAAACATAGAGTGCCAGCGGCAGAGGGCGAACCACTTACGGATACATCGAGGTGTTCGGCCCTCCCTCGCCGGCGGCCACAAAAGGGGGGGCGCGGGGGGGGGGGCGGCCCGCCGTGCGACATGGAGGGGTGCCCCCGAGAAGGCCCCACGGGGGGCCCCTTCGGGATGCCCGGGATTGGCGGCGCGCACAAGGGGGGGGGGGAGCGGGGATGGCTTCTTAGAAGCACCCCTGCTTCTTAGAAGGCGCCGGCCTTACATCTATAAGGCCCGCGCCTTCTAAGAAGCAGGGGTGCTTCTAAGAAGCCCTCCCCCCTCCCCCCCCCCCCCTCTGCCCCTCTGCGCGTGGCTGATGGGCGCCTCCGAGAAGCCTTCTTGAAGCTGGGGGGGCCCTGAGAAACCACCTGGGCGACGCTGACGAGCGGGGCTCGCGCGAGGTGGCGCGGCCACCTTGCGCGGCGGTTCACGCGGGGCGCCGGCGCGGCACCGCTCTCTTGGAAAGGAATGCGCCCACGCGCGACCTCGCGCGGGCAGCTTGCGCGCAAATGCCGGCGCAAACGACCCCCTACATACACCGATTCTGGCCAGGCCCCTTCTGAGCCCAGGATCGGTGCCTACGCCCTCCTACCCTGGCCAGGAAGGCACATGCACCGATCCTGGGTCAAGGGTGGGCCTTGCCAGGATCGGTGCATGTGCATAGTTGAAGGGGCCCTGGGACACACAAACAAATACACACAAATAAACAGATTCCCCCTATATTTTCCCATATCTTCTGGATTCTTGTCTTCCCCCCCACTTCCCACATTTTCCCATCTTTTCTGGGGAATCGACGATTCATTGTGTCTGTGTGTGTTTTTTTCCCCTCCTGAAGATAGCTCTCTTCGCCCGAGAGTGTTCGTCCGCCGCCCGCCTGCACTCTCCTCGGAGAGCGCCCTCCCCGCCTCCTGCGAGAGAGCCGCCCCCCCCCCCGCGCCGTCGCCCCCCCCCGCGCGCGCGCCGCCCGTGGCACGAGGCTCGCGGGGCCCGGCGGGGGGGACTGGCCGCTCGAGGGCGCCCATGGGAGGGGGGCGTCCGAGAGGGGCACAATATGCCCAACAGCAAACGTCCAGCAGCAAATGTGTTCCCAGACCAGCGGCAACCAGTCCAAGAACGGGCACAGTGCCCAACAGCACATGTTCTCCAACAGCACATGTAATCCAACAGCAAACGTCCAAGAATGGGCTCACCCCCCCGTCCCTGAAACGGGGGGGGGACCCTTCCGGGGTCCACCTCTGCGGGGCGAGCCTCTCGAACTCCGCCGGGCACAATGCCCAACAGCAGATGGTGTCCCAGACCAACAGCGGCCGCTGTGGGGCAGGAGGCCTCCCGTCTCGAATGGGCACAGGCCGCGGCGGCGCGGACTTGTCGTTCGTGTAGAAAGAGGGGGGCGTCCGAGAGGGAAGGGTCGCAAGCGATGGCCGGCGGCGCGCGCGCGGCCCAAGGGGGGAGCCGGGGACACGTGGACGCAAGAAGGGGCGCCATGAAATCTGGGAAGATATCGTGGCCCCCGCCATGGTATCCCCCCCCCCCGCCCCCTAGTCATCACCCCCCTCTTGGGCGACCTCGAGCAGAGCCGCTTGCAATCCAGCTTCCAGGCGCGCCTGCAGCGTCGCGGGGGGCGCGGCAGCCCCCGAAACGTCCAGGGGGAGCTGGCGCTACGGTCCTCACCCGCCCAAGCTGCTGCTCCTCCTGCGCCCGTACCTCGGAATGAGTTCAACTATCCTCTGCTGCTGCTACTATTGCTATGGCTGCGGCAGCGGCGTGGGCGCTGGGCCGCGCCTGGCAGATGGTATATGAGGCCTCCAAGACGGTCCAAGAGGGCCGGATGTTCGCCCCAAGACCTCAAAAATGGCCTCAGGACGACCCAAGAAGCCTTCAAGACGGACCAAGAGGTATCCAAGAGATCTCATAAGAGGGCCGCAAGAGGCAAACATCAGCGAATTCCCCGTAGGTTCTTCGAGGATTTATGCGTTCTCGCCTTTTCTGCTTTCCGATGCTCCAAGACGGCCCAAGAGCCCCCAAAACAACCCCAAGACGGTGCAAGCGGTCCCAAAGAGGGCGCCGACACGGTCCACGAGGGTCCCAAGACGGCCCCAAAGGCGCCCAAGACGACCCGAGAGGGCCCCAGCACGGCCCGTAAAGGGGGAGCACGAACCGAAAAATGCAAGTTTTCCGAACCAAGAATGCGCAAGGAGTCGCTGAGGAGGCTCCGAGGAGGCCCTGAGGAGGTCCCAATAGGCCCTGAAGACGCCCCAGCGGGCCACAAACAACGGGGCCCTAAGATGCCCCAAAACGGCCCCCGAGAAGCCCCTCGGAGGCCTCCCGCGACATCCCAACGAACATCCGACAGGCCGATGTCGGACGCACAGCCCAGGCACGGCGGCGGGTGGGCCGAAGGCCATTCGATGCACCGATGTTGGTCAGACCAACTATGGGCCCAGGATCTGTGCCTACCTCGTTGGCGTGCCTGGGCCCAGGCTGGGCCTGGTCGGGATCGGTGCATGTGCGTACAATGGAGACCCATGCCTAGGAACACCCTGCTTGCCTCCAGGGTGCACTGGGCTTCTTGGGCTTCGATGGGTTTGCGATGGATAGCGTGACGTTCCCGCACCAAAAATCAACAATTGACGTCCTGGGATCTCAGGATTGGCTTTCTTGTGGACGGTTTCTTGTGGTCGGGCCCATGCTGTAACTCTCTTCGCCCGACCCCGCCCCTCCACCAATCTCCCTCCCTCTGTGCCACATGATGGGCAACGAGAGGGGAGGACGCAGCTCAGGGGGGAGTGGAGCCATTGACCTGGAATCGGCGACACATCGCCGACAGATCGGCGATCGGCCCCCGACATGCGCCCCCCCCAAGGAGAAGAAAAATGCCATTAACATAAATTTGTGGCGCTCCGCGCGGATTTCTCGGATCTGCGCCGGACCCCCCATCCGTGGCGCGCGGAGCGTGCCAGGGGCGGCGCCTGAGGTGCCGCCGGGTGGGCCCAGCGCGGATCCAAGAAATCCGCGCGGAGCGCCAACAGTTTTTATGTTCATGGCGTTCTTTTTTCTTCGAGATGTGCGCTCCCCCCTGAGCCCATCCGCGTCGCCATTGGCTCTCAGTCGGGCCTGCGGAGGCCAGTCGGCAAGTCGGGACAATCGTCGGGAGCGGCCAAGAGGGGGGTGTCCAAGAGGGGGGATGTGCAAATCATGACCGGCGGCATATGCGCGGCCCAGCGGGTGGGCCAGGGACGCAACGAAACAAGAAGAGGCGCCCTGCAATCTGGGGAAATATCATGGCCCGCGCCATGATACCCCCCCCCCTAGTCTAGTCATCACTCCCCCTTTTTGCCGCCCCCGAGATCGACCCGGGCACCCCCCGACGCCCCTTGGCGAGACGCGGCTGCCCGAGCGGCGCACCCCCCCGAGGCCGGAGAACCGCCGAGGGCCCCGAAGAAGAAGACGCCCAAAGACCGCGAGCCTGGAACCTGTCGTCGCCCGGGAGTCTGCAGTCGAGGCGCTGGACTCGGGAACCCTTTGCGTTCGGAAGGGGCCCGATGCTCCTCGGGCCCTGCCGTGGTTCTTCCTCTGTAGCCCCCTCGTGCACCCAGGCTCCCAGGGGGCCCGAGAGGAGCTTCGTTCCTCATGTAGCGTTCTTCCTGGCAGCAGGGACGCATTTTTCATTCGCGGCCACAACGGGCGTTATGGGGGGGAGGGGGGGACAGGAGTGACTACCTACCAGACCACTCCAACCCAACCCGAAGACCTGAATTTCGGGTTGGGGGGAGAGGGGGGGTTCGGGTTCCATACGTGTTTTTGTTTCAATGTTCCTCGACCCCCCCCCCACTGGAAGTGGACGGCAAATTGAAGCCTTCGGGTTGGGATGGAGTGGCTTGGTGGGTGGTTAGGGAGGGGGCATAACGTAGCGCCCCCTCCCCAGACTGTGGTGCCGGACGCACTGCGGCAGTGCCGGGGACGCCAGGGGGGGGAAGCGATACGTTATGGGGGGGAGGAGGGGGAGGGGAGGGGGCATAACGCGCGTTATCGCCGAGATTTGTTTGTTCTTTGCTAGTTGTTTGCTTTGTGCTTGTTTTGCCTAAAAAATAACATGCAAATTGCAAACATCCAGCTCGACTGCATCCCGCCAAAACGTGCCGTGTCCACGCTTTCCCCCTCTAATCCTCTGCACCCCCGCACCTCCGTCGCCAGCCAGCCGCCGCCGCCGCCGCACCCGCCGCTGCCGCGCCCCGGCAGGGGGTGGACCAGCCGCGGCCGCCGAGGGCCGCGGGCGGCCTGGGCCGCGGGCGGCTGTATGGCCTTTTAAGCGGCGGGCTGACCGTCCCGGCATGCCCAGGTGACTGTCACGAACTGCCTCCTCCTCCTCCCCCTCCTCCCGCTCCTCCTCCCTCCTCCTCCTCCTCCTCCTCCTCCCTCCTCCTCCTCCTCCTCCCTCCTCCCCTCTTCCTCCTCCTCCTCCTCCTCCTCCTCCTCCTCCTTCCTCCTCGTCCTCTCGTCCTCCTCGTCCTACTCGTCCTCTTCCTCTCCTCCTCCTCCTCCTCCTCCTCCTCCTCCTCCTCCTCCTCCTCCTCCTCCTCCTCCTCCTCCTCCCCCCGTCCGCGCCCGTGCCTCGGGCCGGGATCTGCGCCCGTCCTCCGTTTCGCCGGCGGCGAGGCAGAGGCAGTCCGCTCCAGCGGGGCCACTCGGGGCAGCCGAATGGCGACTCGGCCAGCATGCAAAAGAGGGGCAAGGACGAGGGCGGCCGCGCGGGGGGAGCAGACCGGCACCGACACCCGCCTACTCCCTGGACCTCTCCGTGGGTGCGTTCTGACCAGAAGGTCGAGGAGAAGGCAGCCGTGGCCACGAGGGTTCTGCAGGCTGAGCTCTGCGGTATCGGTGCCTTCTCCTCCGCTGTCACTTGTCCCTCCGCCCCCAAGAGGCCCAACAGAGGCCCAAAGAGGCTCCAAACAGCCCCCCCGAGGCCTCAACACTGCCTCCGAGAGGCCTCCCACGAGATTCCAACGAACATCCAATAGACGTCAACGCCCGCAACCCAGGCACGGTGGCAAGATGGGCCGAACGCCATTCGATATGCGCAACAGATCAAGAGAACCATGGCTGTTTAACGCTACACGGGTTACACTGAGCCGATCAAAGACAACCCATGATTTTGTCTACAGCAATAAGCCGACTTACACATGCTATCAACGTAAAACCGAAATACGCGAACTCGGAAAGCTCCGGTAGCTTGATGCGCGATCGGCTTAAAATCGGTGGGAACGCTAATTAAGATCAGTGCTGCATCGTTGGGGAATCGGAGGGCAGACTAGGTGGGATAATTAAGATAGTGCTGATCGTTGGGGAATAGGGCAGACTAGAATTTGTTCGGAACCATTGAACTCTGCAATCCGTAAACCTGGTCGAAGAAAAATAACGAGTAACACTACAAACAGGACGTATCGTATACACTGGATGCAACGATTGGAATGGGTTCAAGGCGTATCTGGTCTCCAGCGTAATGGAGAAGTCTGAAGGATAAGTGGTCAAGCACGTCAAGATGGTGATGCCAGCGAGCAGCCTGAGTTGTTACCAAACGAATGTCTGAACACATCGACAACTATCTACTCATTAAACACATGATCAGTGTCTACGGCTGTGCGGTTAGAGGATGAAACGCATTGTGCAGTGCAGAAACATCAGCAAAGACAAACATTTGTAAGGTTAAGAATGGAGGATGCGTCAGAAGCGTTATACTATACAACGGGTTCGACTTAGTGAAGGGGCTGTCAGAGTTACACGGACATAATTGGTCACCATGTGACGACACAGATCGCAACCCGAAAGCTGCACTCTTTCCCCAGAACCCGCTCATCGACCGAACAGTCTCCTCTGGGTGCATCGGGAAAAAGGAAGCTTACCTGAGGGGGCCAGATGCGGGGAACGAGCGAGCTGACTAGTGATAGGCTCACGGGGATCTTTCATGGAACAGCAGGAAAAGGCACAGGCACAGAAGCCAGGAGGGAATGCAAGGCTCGGGAGAAGGCGCTGGGGCAAGGCATGCTTGCAGCCACATGAATACGATTTTAAGGCCATGGCCTAGGTCGGCTTCCCGACAAAATCTCAATCGAGCCCTGAGCCAGCCCTGCCAGCATATTTCGGCGGGGCCATTGGGCCAGCCTCCCCAAAGAACTGTAGAGGAAACGCTGGATCAGATGAATCAATGGAGAACTGCGGATGGTCATCGCGGCAGAGAGAGGGGACGTTCAGCGCGGCACGAAATCCTGCTGGTTGAAGATGTCCCACACGAAGAGAAGGCTCGTATCGTCCAGGTTGACGATCTGTCAGTGGCGTTTGACCGCCGCGCGATTGTAATTCGTTCATGCTTCTTTCACGTCCTCCTCCTCCTCCTCATCCTCCGCCTCCTCTTCCACCTCCTCCTCCCCCGACTTCCTCTGCTGAACTCATTGCGGCGGTCGAATAGAGACAATCGGTCACTCAAAACCTCACCGGATCGAATGGCAAACTCTTGAGGCTCGAAAGCCTTGCCCTTTCGAGTGAGAGAGTAAGACGCGCCTGGGACGCTCTCGCAGTGCAGCGGAGCCAGAGTGACTGAAGCTCTGAGAATTCACACAGGAGCAGGAGGTTGAGGAGGAGGAGGAGGAGGAGGAGGAGGAGGAGGAGGGAGGAGGGAGGAGGGAGGAGGGAGGAGGGAGCCCCAGGGTCGCGGGCAGAAGCGGGCAGACATTGAGATCGCCCTGGACCGCCGAGGGCAGCTGGGGCGACCTCCAGAGCAGTCCACTGGCCAGCCCCCAGTTCTGCCAGGGACAGGAAGACAAGGAGAGGAGGAGGAGGAGGAGGAGGAGGCGGAGGAGGAGGAGGAGGAGGAGGAGGAGGAGGAGGAGGACGAGGACGTTTGGCCTCCGCCAACTCCTCATCCCTCTCTCCTCCCCCCCTCCGAGTGGAGCCTGGTCTTTGCTAATTACGTCAGGCCAGGCACCCCAAGGCCTCAATGAAGCGCCCAGCGGTTTCCTGTGACCCTAGGGTTGTGCTAGGATGCTCCACGAGTCGATAGAGGAACAGAAACCGGCATAAGCATCAACTGTTGACGGTCAGCGCGGACCTCTTGGATCTGAGCTGGACTCCCCTCCCTGGCGCGAGGAGCGCGCCGTGGGCGGCGCCGGAGGCGCGGCCAGGGGGTCCTAGCGCAGGTCCAAGAAATCCGCGTGGACCGCCAAAAGTTTGTGCTTATGCATTTCTGGGGGTGTTCGAGCCAAGCGCTCAAGTCGCAAAATGCGACGTCAACCCCTTCTGACGCCGTGCGATGGTCCCCCGTGACAGTTTTTTCTCTCCCGGGTTACCCGGGGGGGAAGGAGAGGGGGTTCGGGCGGGGTGTAACGATAACGGCGGCCGCGGCGTGCACCCGCCAGGGTGCGTCCGCGCCACCAGCGCACCAATCGCATGTGTGCACCGCAGCACGTAGAGGGGGGGTCCAGCCCCCCCCCCCAGGTACGATTTTGGGCGCCCGAGTTATCCGGGGTAACTCGGGTCCGGGGTAACTCGGGTTTGGATTCCCGAAAAAAGGAACCCGAGTTAGCCCTGACCCGAGTCACCCCTGATGATGTGGGGCTCTGGACGCCCGAATTATCCGGGGTAACTCGGGTCCGGGTAATTCGGGTTTGGATTCCCAAAAAACGAACCCGAGTTATCCCTGACCCGAGTTACCCCTGATGATTCGGGGCTCTGATGTTAGCATTACCCGGGGGGGGGGGGCCCAGGCAAGGAGCGTTGACCTGGGGAGGAAAACCTGTCACGGGGGACCATCGCACGGCGTCAGAAGGGCGTGACGTCACACACTGCGGCTCGAGCGCTTGGCTCGAAAAAACCCAGAGATGCATAAGCACAAACCTTTGGCCGTCCGCGCGGATTTCTTGGACCTGCGCTGGGACCCCCTGGCCCTGCCTCCGGCGCCGCCTCTGGCGCGCTCCGCGCGCCAGGGAGGGGGGGGGGCCATCTCAGATCCAAGAGGTCCGCGCTGACCATCAACGGTTCATGTTTGTACCCTGTTATGTTCTTCTGTTGACTCGTGGAGCCTCCTCGCACATACCTAGGGTGCCTGACCGAACGTAGCAGAGGCTTCTGGCGGTCCGCGAAGGTACCTCCGATCTGGGCTGGGACCCCCCGGCCCTAGGTCGGGCACCTCCTCCTACATGCGGACTTTGGGAGGAATAATGAAACATAACCAGAACATCTGCAAACACGTGCACACGAACTCGAAGCATCGCCCCCAGACTATTCCTTGACAATGTTTTTTTTGTTTTATCCTCCCCCTGTAGCAAGGGCTCCCAACTTCGCGCTTCGCGCTGCGCTAAGCGCGAAGAGAGCGAAAAACTTCGCGCTCTCGCGCCGCCTCCCAGGGGAGCAGAGGAAGAGGAGGAGGGGGAGGAACCGGAGCCGAACCGCGAAGCGCGAAGCGCGAAGAACTTCGCACCGTCGAGGGCGCCCTTCTGTAGAGGGTCATGCCCGACCTCACCCTGGCAGCGCCTCCGGCGCTCGCCCCGGCGCTCGCTCCGACGGGGGGGGGGAGGAGGAGGAGGGGGGGGGGGGGGGGGGGGGGGGGAGGAGGAGAGGAGGAGGAGGAGGAGGGAGGGAGGAGGAGGAGGAGGAGGAGGAGGAGGAGGAGGAGGAGGAGGAGGAGGAGAGGAGGAGGAGGAGGAGGAGGAGGAGGAGGAGGGAGGAGGAGGGAGGAGGAGGAGGAGAGGAGGAGGAGGAGGAGGAGGAGGGGAGGAGGGAGGAGGAGGCTCGAGGGGCTGCTCCGACGGCGCGCCTCGGCGGCCCCCCCCCCCCCCCCCCCCGCGCGCGCACGGCGAGGGCGCGGCAGGGTGCAGGCTGCCGCCGCGCGGCGGCGGGACCCTGGGCCTCCCGCTGCCCCCGCAGGAGCAGCCCCTCGATCCTCGATGCTCCTCCTCCTCCTCCTCCTCCTCATCCTCCCTCCTCCTCCTCTCACCTCCTCCTCCTCCTCCTCCTCCTCCTCCTCCTCCTCCTCCTCCTCCTCCCCCTCCTCCCCCTCCCCCTCCCCCTCCTCGATCCTCGATGGGGGCCTCGGAAATGCACGCCTATGTTTCGAGCCGCTTCCATCGAGCGGGGGGGGGGGGACGAGGAGTCGGGGGCGCGCAAGCACGGATTGGCGATCCATGGGTTCGGCGCGCGGTCGCCAAAACCACGGGTCGGGGGAGGTGCCTTGCCCAACATGCGGCCGGTGCCGCCTCCTTCGGGGGCGGAACTCCGCGATTCCCTCTGGAAACGGTTCCCGTCGCTTTTCCACACCGCCTGAATCCATGTTCGCGATCGCCTGAGAGAGGGGGCAGGATGGCAATGTGAAGTGCTTCTTCTGTTCGCCCCCGAGCCTCCCCTCGGCGGGGACGAGTGGGCAGGATGGCAATTCGATGTGCTGCTTCTGTCGCCCTCGAGCCCCTTCTCGGGGGGGGGGGGGACGAGGGGGCAGGATGGCAATCTGCAGTGCTGCTTCTGTCGCCCCCGAACCTCCTCTCGGCGGGGACGAGGGGGCAGGATGGCAATCTGAAGTGCTGCTTCTGTCGCCCCCGAACCTCCTCTCGGCGGGGACGAGGGGGCAGGATGGCAGGATGGCAGTCCGACGTGCTCCTCTCTTCTGGTGCCCCTTCCCGTCGGCTGTGTTCTGCGCTGGGCTGCTGTTCTTGGATCCTGTCTTGGGTCGCCGTGTCTCGCTTGCCCTGGTCCCGGGAGGTGGGGCGGCGGGACGGCGGGGGGGGGCTGCGGGGGGAGGGGGCGGGAGGTCGAGGGCGGATGGAGTGCTGGGGGGACCTCCGCGTCCCCCTCCCCCTCCCCAGTGTTCCCTTCGCCCCGGAGCCTCCTGCATACAGGAGATCTTCCCCTCCCCCTCCCCGTGCTCCCCCTCCCCCTTCCCGTGCTCCCTTCTACTCTCTCGTCCCCCCAGATAGGGGGGGACGAAAAGAGCAGGACAGCAGGTTCTAGCTGCTGTGTTTCTGTCTTCTGTGTCTGGCCCCTGTTTTCTGTGGTGGGCTGTGGGTCTTGTTCCTGTTTTGGGTTGCCTTTTGTTCGCTCGTGTTGGTCCTGGCCGGTGTCGTGCTTGTTCTGCTGTGGGTTGCCGATTTGTCTGTTATGGTCAAAGGCAACACGAGAAAAGTTGAAAACGGGGCAAAACGCCCCCCCAGCGCTTTTAAGAACAATTAGGAATAGGATATCAACGGGTAGGCTAAAGAATCAGCTCATGTAGCTGATTTTCCTGGCGCCGTCTGGCGCTGGGAGGCGCCCATGTATCGAAGAATGGGCCCCGCGGTGGGGCGGAAACCAGCTGCACCCAGCAGATTTCGTAACCTTCCCCTGTCCCTATCCTACCCTCTCGTCCAGTCCGAGGGCACCGCATCGCCGATGCGTCGGCGACGTCAACGACGCATCGGCGACGCGGGCGCGGAGAAAAGCGGGCTCCACATCGAGCCGCCTCGGGGCGATGTATCGGCGATGCGGCGCCATCCTTCGACCCCATCTGGGAGAAAAAGGCCCGGGTCACCCCCACGGCCAGGGGGCCTGGCGGGAAAGCTGCCAGGGAGGAGGAGGAGGAGGAGGAGGAGGAGGAGGAGGAGGAGAGGAGGAGGCAGGAGGAGGAGGAGGAGGAGGAGGAGGAAGAGGAGGAGGAGGAGGAGGAGGAGGAGGAGGAGGAGGAGGAGGAGGAGGAGGAGGAGGAGGAGGAGGAGGGGAGGAGGCGGGGCGGGCTTAACCCGGCTCGAGCGCCGGCGCCCCTGGCCGCCGCGGCGCCAGGGCCCGGCGGCCGCACCCAGGAGTGGCCCTGGGCAAGAGCGGCCGCCGGCGCGCGGCTCTGGGGGCCGCGGGGGGGCCAGACCCGGGCGCGCGAGGCGCCGCTGTCGCCTCGCGTTCGGCGCTTGGGGGACCCCAGCGAGCCCGCACTCAAGGTCCTCCCGGCGAAGGGCCACTCTGACGTGTACTCGAACTTGGCGGCGCGCGCAACGGGGGCAGGGGAAGGGGAGGAGGGGGGAGGGTTTTTTGGGAGGAGGCTGCTTCTTCGAGGGCGGGCGTGGTCCATGTGAGACAGGCTGCCGCCCGCCCAACTGTGGCCGCTGTCGGTTTTGGGCCACATGTGCTGTTGGGCATCGTGCCCATGTTCTCCGTGCCTGTTTCGGGCGTCCAAATCTCGGGATGCGGCTGCTTCTTCGCAGGCGCAGGCCTCACATCTAAACAGAAGAGGCCCGCGCCGTGGAAAAAGCAAGGTGCTTCTGACAAAGCTTCTCCACTCCCCCTGCAGTCGGACCTGGGACAAAAGAAC